AAAACGTAGTTCAAGAGTTGTCCAAATTGCTGCCGTGGTGTCAAGATTGATGACGTAGGGAAGAATAGAGGCAGAAATTGTGGAACAGATGGAGGCGGAGAGGTTCTGATCGGTGAGAAGCCATTGGGAGAAGTTCGGATTCGAAATCGTCATACCGTCAAAATCGAGTTGAAACCGATCGGGGGGAACAATATTGGGATCAAGAAATGAAAGGAACCCATTCGCCCGAATGATCTTTAGGATCTGGGATTTCCAGATCATATAGTTGTCGGACGAAAGTTGAACAGCAACCGTGTTCTTCAGATTTGAAACCAAGAACTTCAGATTGGAGGAGATGATCGGCTCTGCTTCAGCGTTTGGCAAATTGCTCTGAGAGTTTGCCATGGCGGAAGTCGCAGAATGAGCCATGAATAGGGATCTAAGACCTATCTGATACCATGTAGAAACCAATGGTTTAAAGACATAAAGCAATAACAAGAAAGGTAAAGACAATGTATTAACCAATGTATCTACAAACGGTACAACCATGCTTTAAATAGAGCCAGGCATGTATGGATAAAACAATCCTAGCCAATACAGTAATTACACGTCATTTAATTGAGTAACAGATTACAGTTTTATTGTATTAAATCAGATCTCTCTAATAAAAATGAGATCTAGACGAGAAAGGGAGCAAGAGGGTGAAGCGTTTGGGACCTTGTGCAGAACGACTAGATAGACGTGAAGAGCAAAAAATAAACGAAGGGGTACTAATAGATGTTATTTTTGTACTTATTTTGATGTTTTGAGATACTCAAGATGATTATTGCGATATAATTCATTTATTTTTTGTTAACAAATAATTTTTTATGAATTTTGATGAGGTTTATATATAACTTCATAATGATAAGACTGAGACTTCGTTTGGGATTTGTTTTCTTACTACTTCTTAAAATAGTTTTCTAGTATAAAATTTTTAAATTTTTTACTTACTACAAAGTTGATTTAAGAAGTAGTAAAAAAGCCATCCCAAATGAAGTCGAAGAAGAAGAAGCTTCTTAAATATCAAAGCTATGATGCTAGTTAAGGATAGTAATGAGGCTTTCAGAATGATAGAGAGAATATAATGAACATCTAATGTAGGGATGCATTATCTAAATGACTAAGAAGAAGAAGAAGATAATTAAAAGTTAGAGCTAAAACATTGATTAAAATATGATTAAAGAACATAAATTTTTTATTTTAGTTAAAGAAAGTTAAGGTGTTATGTCTCCAAAACTTTGAAAATATTGTTCTTTTCGGTGCTTAACAGGTTGTAAATTTGAGAGGATTAGTTGCTTTTATCCAAAAGCGAAAAGAGATGTATATATAAATTGGAAAAAAAGCTAAAGATGGGGAATAACAGAGGGGCACAACAATCATCTTGGCTGGCCAAATGCTTTTGTTGGGAAATTTCTTTGTTCTGTGAGACGTGAACGAGAAGCTGCTGCTTGCATTTAGCATTAGGTTTTGAAGTGTGATCTCTCTCTCTCAAGTGGATATCCGTAAAACAGTAAAAGGGCCATTTTTCATAGGGTTTTTGACAATCCGATTTGGCTCAATAATGGCTTAGCAATTTGACAAATTCGAGTTTGGCCTTCATACAATTCCAAAAAAATTCATATGATGTGCACGAATTGAGAGATAATTTTAAATTGAAAATTTTAGAATTAAACTCTAGATTATTCAGATATGATTTCAGTAAAGTCATAATCAAACTGAACGTCAAGAAGTGAGGAAAATAAAAAGATCTCTTTCATTTTTTTTCCTTTCAGCACCGACGACGACCACCAGCAATCGCCGCCCCTATCTCGAGACTGCTGTCAAGATTTAACATGTTGCTGGGTTTCTAACTGTTCGCCTATGAACAACTAAATTTTGTAGTCTCTATAATTGAGTCAATCAATTATTTTCAACATAATCTCAACTTCTTCCATTGTGACGAAGAGAGAAATTTTGTATCTGATATTCTATAATGAACTATTGTAATCAGTGTCATGCTCTATAATTTTCTCTCTTTCTATATTTTTCAAGTACAAATTTTCTAGTTTTCTACAATTTTTCAATGCATATTAACTTTTTATACAACCTCTAAGCATGTGCTGATCGGTTGATAGTTTGTAGAAGGAATATCTTGAGATGTGTATCGAGTGACTATTAATTAGACTCTTCAAAGTTTTATTTCATAATAGTTTGTCAAACTATTCGAAGTTAATAAAATGTACAGAATATTAGATAAAATTTATTTTACTAATTTATGATTCATGCAGAGAATTATAAAATAAATGCGTATAACATTCTTACAAAACAAAGCAGCTTAATTATGCGGTATGCGGCTGTTTGGTCGAAAGCTTTAAGTGGAATAAAAGATTTTGAGGAATTTAAAATGCCTATTTATTTTCTCTTCATTTGAAAATAGCTCAAATTGGATTTTTTATATTATTTTTAGCTCAAATTGGATATGAAACTTCAATGCTTCAGAAATTTATAATAAAAGCACCAAGATTATTTAATTTCTTAAAATATATATATATATATATAAGAATAAAACTTTTTTGTGTGTCGGAACATTCTTGGCGATAGAGAGATAAGATTTAGCATCTTAGTTTTGTAAGAAAATCCAACACACAAATAGATAAGAGAGAGAGATGCAAGAGTCAAAAGTGACACCAATATTTTTACGTGAAAATATCTTAAATGAAGAAAAATCATGGGATTTTACCCAATGGAAATGAACCCAATCAAGAAAAAATTTAGTGATGTACAAGCATAATACAAAAATATTGGTTCAAAAAAAAAAAAAAAATACAAAACATGTCTAATGACGAACACACATTAAAAAAACAATAATCAATTTTTATAATTAATAATTATCAATATATCATAAAAACTTTATCTTGATCGGCACGAATCTTGAGGCAAAACCAAGTTGGAAACTTCCGAAATTAAACATGGGACAATCCGATCTCCGATTTCAGTAAACTTACAATCGAACTGAACATCTCAGAATTACGAACCCAACGACACCAAATTTGACTCAATCCGAGCCCAAATGGGTCCAAGTCAAAGACCCAAAGCACCTTTGGAAGGTACAAACTATAATTTGGATTATCAAACAAACTCCAAATGTGACATGCTTATATTAAAATAGAGCGGCTCGAAGAGATAAATCCAACAAGCCCAAATGTCCAGTAAATGATTCATGATCAAGGGAATTAACATTGATCGTCCATAGAAACCACTCTCAACTTATTCATGATCTTCCTCGTATTTACTTGCCTTTTCACTCTCAGAAAACTATAAATAGACCCCTTGTTCTTCATGAAAAGGGGGTCCTAAGCAAGGAAGAGAAGGAAGAGAGAGAGAGAACTTAGAGCTCTCTTACCACCGAACTCCTCCTCGACCACCGTCCGTCGTCGAACTTTCACCGGACTTCCACCCGACCACCAATTGACACCGAACTTCTGCTAAGCCACAAACTGATGTCAGACTTCCGCCCAGCACCGACTGATGCCAGACTTATTCCAAGCCACTGATTAATGTCAAACTTCTACTCGGACACCAACTAACGAAAGACTTCTGCCCGGCCACCAACTTACGGTGGATTTACACCCGGTCACAGACTATCAACGATCCTTCCGACCTCCGTCGCCAAACAACGATCTTTCTGACCACCGTCGCTAGTCCTTCCGACATTTGTCTCTAGATAATAGTCCTTCCGTCATCCGTCTTCAGATAACGATCCTTTCGACCTTGATCGCTCGTTGACTAATGTCCTTCCGACCTCCGCCGTCAAATTACGATTATTATAACTTATGTCGGTTGCCGACTACGATCCTTTCGATCTCCGTCATGAGGCAATAGACTTTCTGACCATTGTCGTCTTCCAACAACGATCCTTCCGACCTACTTCACCATACAACGTCTTTTTGATGACTGTTACCTGCCGACTACGGTCCTTCCGACCTGCGTCACCCGCCGACTACGATCTTTCCGACCTCCGTCACCTGCCAACTATGGTCCTTCTGACCAGCGTCACATGACTACGATTTTTACGACCTCCGTCACCCACAGACTATAGTCTTTCTGACCACCGTCACCCGATTACAGTCTTTCCGACCTCTATTCCCTGTCTACTATGGTTCTTTCGACCACTGTCATCTGACTATAATCTTTTCGACCTCCATCGCCTACCAACCAAACAAACTTGTCAATATTGATTCTTTTAATTCCCACCATGTAATATATTCTATATAATATATATTTGCTATATCAAGCAAAGGCCTTCCCCCAAAGAAGGACCTCATTTGTAATCGACTGCAAATAATATTAGATTCATTCAAACTGGACAAGACCCCATGTTTGTTTCCTCTTTTCAATGATTTTCCACGTAAAAATTCAAGTGTCTCTTATGAATGCTACACAATCTATTTTATCTAATTGTGTTTGATCTTCTTATAAAATTAAGACGTAAAACTTTATATTTATCTAACACCGCGATTATTTGAGGATTCAGGTTTTGTTTGGGGATGTTTTCTTAATGCTTCTTAAGTCAATTTTTTAATGCAAAAAATAAATTTTTGTACTAAAAAATTTATTTAAGAAACAGTAAGAAAGTCATATCCCAATAATTATATGTTATACTACTTTAACAAACTGAAATATTTCGTAATTTCTCGAGTATTCAACACAAAACAAAGTTCCACAGTTCACACCGACAACACCATTATAAAGTAAACTAAACTGAAAATAAATAATAGACAAGGCCCACATCCAGCGAAATATAAGAAAAGAAAGGTGGCCACATTCGGATCCCCTCTTCTTTCCGGAATCATCTCTTTTCTTTCATTATCATTTTAATCTAATTTCATTAAAATGATAAAAAGATAATCTTGAATTATCTGTCAAAACTAATCATAACCCATGCTCTCTCCATCTCAGCCTTTTAGTTCCTCTATAAAATGCCCCATTCTCTCTGTTCTGCTCCGACTCATCCACAAAGCTCTCAGCTTTATCTCCAAGCCTACTCTGGTTTGCTTGTCCTCTCTCTTCGGGCTTAGGGCAAACTGATTTTGGAGGAAAACTGCGGAGAAGATGCAGGCGAAGGAGGAAGATGTTAGCTTGGGAGCTAACAAGTTTCCTGAGAGGCAGGCGATAGGAACTGCGGCCCAAACAGAGGAGAAGGATTACAAAGAGCCACCTTTGGCCCCTTTTTTTGAGCCTGGAGAGCTCGTGTCTTGGTCTTTCTACAGAGCTGGGATAGCAGAGTTTGTAGCCACTTTCCTGTTTCTCTATATTACTATACTCACTGTGATGGGAGTTGTGAGCGCCAAAACCAAGTGCAGTACTGTAGGAATTCAGGGGATAGCTTGGTCTTTTGGTGGAATGATCTTTGCTCTTGTCTACTGTACCGCAGGGATTTCAGGTTAGATTTTTTTTAAAAAAATTTTGTTCTTTGTGTTTTTTTATATATATTTTGAATAATTTGGCAGTTTGGATTTGCTTTGTTTTACCTGTTTCTTAGATTGGTTGGCCTTTTTAACCCTTATTTGCCTATCCTGATCACTGCACTAGTTTTTCACCATATTATTGCACTCTTTCTTGCCTGTCTTTTTTGCCTATTCAATCTCTCTTCCCAAAGTTCTTGGGTAAAGTTTTATCCATCTCTCTCTCTCTCTCTCTCTCTCTCTCTCTCTCTCTCTCTCTCTCTCTCCCCTTTTGCATCTCTACCAAAAGACAATCTTTCGAACTCCATCTTACAAAAAATATAAGGATCTTTTATAGCTTCTGTTGAGTGTTTGACTGTCTTTGTAAAAAGGAAATGAAAATAAATCAGAAATTAAAGTTATTCGGTGGTCTGTTCATCCGCAAGCAATTCATAAATTTCTCGTATTTCGTTCAATTTCCTCAACTTTACTCGTCTTGAAACAGAGCCTAATAGATTTATTTTTAATTAATTTTCTTGAAGTATTTCGTGTTAAAGCACTCAACTCTTCCTTCTAGGTTTCCTTGAGAGTAAATATTATATACTTTTGTAGAATTCATACATAAAGTAAATAATAGCGTTGAAGTTAAATCAGAACCATGAGATGAAATTAAAGTTTTTTTTTTGGGTTCTTCTGCTGATGATCTAATGGATAGTTTGGTGATCATTTCTTGATACTGGCGGTGTTCAGGCGGGCACATCAATCCAGCTGTGACATTTGGGCTCTTCCTGGCCCGGAAGCTCTCCCTCCCTAGAGCTCTCTACTACATGGTAATGCAGTGCCTAGGAGCCATCTGCGGCGCTGGCGTTGTCAAGGGTTTCAAGAGAAGCATCTACATGGCCAACAATGGAGGCACCAACTCTGTGAGCCCCGGATACAGCAAGGGGGACGGTCTTGGAGCTGAGATTGTCGGCACCTTCGTCCTCGTCTATACAGTCTTCTCCGCTACTGATGCCAAGAGAAGTGCCAGAGATTCTCATGTCCCTGTGAGCACTCTACCCATCAAATGCTTTTATTTGATTGTGTTCGGAAAAAGCTTGGCTTTGAATATTCTCTTTAACATCAAAATTTAGGCTTCCTTAGGGACGGCTTTCTTTAAGAAGCCTCTTTTTAGTATAAAATTAAAAAATTTAAGTTGTTTTACAAATTAGAAAGAAAATCGTCCCAAATAAAATCTAAATTTGAAGGCTAGAGTTTAGCTATAACTAATCAGCTTATGATTCTCATGTCCCTGTTTAAGCTAAAATTAAAGAAACTGCCTTACGGCATAACCACCCAATTGACTAGCGGCGCTACCATAGGTGAAAGATTTCCATGGATCGATTAGCATGTCATTTTGCTAGCTATTGCAGCCACTAAATATGATCAAAAGTGTCTTTCATTTGATTGAGGTTTAATTTGGGACGGCTTTCTTACTGCTTTTTAAAACAACTTTTTGATAAAAAATTAAAAATTTTGTACTAAAAAGCTGTTTTAATAAGCAATAAGAAAACCGTCCCAAACGAAATCTGAATCAACAGTAGTATGATCAAACAGTTTAGCATGGGAGGAGTGAGAGCTTTTTGTTACAGTATCTGAAGCGATTTGCGAGAGTATGTTAGTTTATCTTTTCTGATATACGATTTGAAGAAAAAAAATGGATTTTGTTTGCAGATTCTTGCGCCACTTCCAATTGGGTTTGCCGTATTCCTCGTTCATTTGGCCACAATTCCGATCACCGGCACCGGCATCAACCCAGCGAGGAGCCTTGGAGCTGCCATCATCTACAATAGGGATCATGCTTGGGATGATCAGGCAAGCCATCATCTTGATATCGTTCAAAATCTAAATAACAGGAAATTAATTATCATATTAATGATCTAAGAAATGTTTCTCCTTTTCTTATTTTTTTACTCTCAGTGGATCTTCTGGGTTGGACCGTTCATCGGAGCTGCACTAGCTGCTTTCTACCACCAGGTTGTCATAAGGGCAATCCCTTTCAAGAGCAGGTCTTGAGCTTTTAGCTGCGTAAAACCTATATCTCTGTGAATCAGAAGCTGTGGCTTTGAATTGACTCTAGTCTTCTATCATCGTCCACTATATGTGAGCCTTCTGCTTTTATTTTGTTTCCCCCTTTTTTCCTTCCTCTCTCTCTCTCTGCTCCTTGATCAAGTTTGTAAATTATTAAGCATGGGTATGCTATGGACCGACTTTATGGAATTTAGAGTGGTTTCTCTTATATTTCTCATCACCTGCATAATGTTTTTCTATGGATCATTTGGTTGCTTCGAAATTTAAATTTTTTTAGAAAATAGGAAATTGTTTCAAATCATCTTTACTTACAGATCGACTAACATTAATTTCATATGAAAATTTTTGTGTAGGAAATTCTGTTAAAAAAATGATTAAAGAATGAAGTAAAATTTTGGATATGTCACAAGTAATATGTATAAATTCATCTTTCAAAAGTCTTTGACTTTTTTTTTTTTAAATTTCAACATACTTTTTTTAAGCTCTCTCCAAAATGAACAATTTATTTTTTACATTGGAAATGAGTGAAAATGCTAAATTATAATTAATGACGAATTTAACGGGACGTGAAGATATATACTTCTAAATTATTAATATATATTTATCAATAATAAAATAATAAAATTCAATTTTCTTATTTTATGTTTATAAGTATCTATTGGCGTTGTCTTGAATTTGGCTCAATCCTTCATTACAAGAAAATGGGTCATCAAAAAAGAAGCTTGATATTAGCTACAGATAAAAAATTACGGATGATTTGTTTATTCTTAAACAAAAATTTAGGTTAAAGTATGAATGATTTATTTGCAAAAAAAATCAAGATGATGTAATTGATTAATCATTCAATTTCTCCAAAATATAGGTTAGAGTTGCCTTGAATTTGGCTCAACTCCTATTTGTTCATATTCTTGATCATTATAAGCTTCACATATATGTCAGAAGTCCAAGGGGCCTGATTAGTGATAGAAAGAAAACAGAGAATGGCAGGGAAACAGAGAAGACAGTAAAACAAGAAGAAGGAAATGTATATCATTCAAGCAGATCTAATAACAGAGTACAGAGGACAATATATAGAAAGAGCTTAATGGCTCAGTATGTAAATACAATGCAAATAAGTATAACGGTCGTTTACAATTAGGTCGTTGTGTCAAGGAGCTACGTACCAAATTAAATATATATAAAAAATAATTTTATAAATATTTTGTTTTTTATCAAGTTTTCATGTCTTGGAGCTGCACCTAATTATAACATAGAAAATGGTAGAAAATTCAAAAGAGATGCTTAATTAAGGTCGTGACGCTCGTGATTATGTTAATCTTCATTAAAGAGCAGGAGGGCGAATGTCTACGGAATTATTTTTTATGGTTAGGTACTGCAGTGGTTGGGTTGGAATGATGATAGCTTGTGGGCGCCCCTCACATGGGCTCTGCTCAGCCACTGCTGCTTTGAGCTCAACGGCTAGTTTTATGATCCTATATATGTTTTGAAGCGAAGATAGATTAGATTAATTTTCTTAAAAGTTCTTTAACTAAGGATTTGCCTTACAAAGGAATGTATTTGAAATCATACTATATATAAATCTCATTTATAATTAGTGTCATTTAACTATTGCTTGCGAGTTAAAACAACTTTATGAAAAGTTTGTGCGTTTGATTGGCATTGCTTTAGGTAAGCATCTTTTGCTCTTTAGTGGCAGAGTTCCCAAAAAAAGGATTTGTCGTTCTCTGGCTTTGGCCTTATTTCCCCGCGGGTTAGGAAAATGTCGCTCTAGCGATTAACTTTAGTTGATTAGGTTTTGAGTTAGGCTTCGTTTGGGACCATTTTCTTAATGCTTTATAAAGTAATTTTTTATACTAGAAAATTACTTTAAGAAACAGAAAAAAAGTCGTCCTAAATGAAACCTTAATGATTTAGTGCTTTCATAAATATCTCGAAAAAAAATATGAAAAAAGATTTATAAATTTGACAAATAACTTCAGTTTTTTAGATGAACTAAAAAATAATAGAGGTATATATTGTTATGAAATATGTGATAAATAAAAACATAATAAAATATTTATATATAGATAGTAGAATAAATATCATAGAGAAATTAAGATGTTACAAATTTATGTTCACTACGATACTAATTTCTTTTTTAATAACTTGTATATGCCAAATGCCATGCTGTTAACATAAGTGGTAGCAAAGATAAAAGTATTTTTTTATTGATATGTTTTTGTTTTTAAATTATGCATTTACAATCAGTTAGATTCTCTGAAAATATTGCTATATTCCCAATTTTTTTAGTATCTATGCCCGATAATTTATTTTAATTAACAGACATGTAAATCATCTTGATTTGTTGGTTGGGAGCTTTGTTACTAACCAAGAGGTTTTGGGTTTGAGTCTTGTATGATATAGGTAATCATTCCAAAAATATCATTTATATCCCTCCTCTCTTCATTACGGGTATTATATATATTATATTCATGAAATATTCTAGAAATAAATGAGTACAAAAATAGATATAATATTCCTAAGGCATAGTTTAGCCAAGATGCACCGCATCATTATGTATGTGATGTATATATTTGTCTTTATTGACTAAAAAATGGCAATAAATAAATAAAATTTTTATTACAAAACGAGATTATGGGTTGCCTCATTAGGGAACTTTTATTTTATCCAGTGAACGTACGCAGAGGAAGGTTCGGTTTTAGACAAAAAAGCGTCTGTACCGAGTTTTTTACAGGCGCGAAAAACTCGGTACAGACACTTTTTGTGTCTAAAACCGAACCTTCCTCTGCATATGTTCACTAGATAGAATAAAAGTTCCTCATTAGGACGGAAAGCGAGTGAGGTGATTAATGCGGGATCTACGGCGATGAGGTGGAATACATGAGAGAAAATAATATAATATATTTATGGTTGTAGGCAAATTAGTGTATTATATAAACAATTGGGATGCAGCTGATCGTGATTTGAATCTAAATAATAATTGGATCATAAATCATATGAACTGTTTATTTTATTGGATCACATAAAATTTAAGCCATGCAATTTATTGAAATTATTGTGCTGTCAAATAATTAGTGGCTATCGTTACCTGAGTTGAGGCTAATGGGCCATATTCAGATTTAAATTGATTCGAATCTGTCTAATTTAAACTCGACCGATTTATTATTTTAGTTAAAACATATTGAATCACAACGCAGTTGGGAAAATATTGTTTATTTTTTTGCCTAACTTTTATTCCATTATAAATTGTAACGTATGTTATAAAAAGAAAAGAATAAACTAAACCAAATCTTAAAGGAGCCAAATTTTTAAAAGCTATACGCTGTTGAGAAATTTAATTGTTGAATTAATGTTAAAAAGTAAAAAATATATATATTAGATAGTAAAGATGTTAGTGGTTTTACTTAGGTATGATAGTATAGTTTGAGTGTATTATCTTTAATTAAGAATGTATATCTACTTAAAAAGTTTGAAATTAGTTAGTTGATTATTAGTAAATACAATAATTTCGATTTGAATTGTTTTAAGACTGATCAAATGAGTTTTCATGAATTCACCAATCAAGAATTTAGAACCTACATTTTACAAAAAAAAAATATAATAGGTGCATTAGGTATAATGACCAAACTTAATTATGTTAGCATTGTAGGATGGACTCAACCGTTGCTATGTTGATGTTAGCGACTGAGGGTCAGTTGATTATTGATGATCAATTCTATCCCACATATTACAGAGGGCATAATCATCCTCTGAATGTTTCAAGTAACACATCATTAGAGCAGTTGAAATTGGAAGTGTTGAGGGTCCTTGGACATGATGCAATATTCTTTAAAGTAAACTTGACTAGTCGCCTCCCAGTAGTCAATGATGTAATTGCATCACCACTTCTTGATGATGAGGTCTGCTATATTGCTTTACGCCAGGCTAATACGAAACTTGTGGTAATTTAAATTGAAATTGAGAGTTCTTGCAATGCACTTTCGAAGAAGAGTGTACCAACAACTACTCCGGCGGAACAATGTAATTCATTAAGCAGTGCTGAAATGTTGATTTTGTAGTCAAGTAGTGCATGTAGACAATCTTTCTAATACCCTATAAGTTTGAGCTTATTAGCCTATTCTTACTAATTTATAAATTTGACAATAGTGGCTTAGTGTAATGGATTTATAATGATTGCACTAATACGAGGTCTCTCAGCTGACATGTTGTTTCTAGTGCTGCTAGGCCCTCATTGCGGTATTCACCCAGTAATGAGCCCTGAGTAGAAGATTTGTTAAAGAATCTAAATTTAATCAATGAAGGTTATGAAACTATGAGCAGTTAGTCAAATGATGGGTCGTCTAATTTGGGTGAAAGAAACGAAGATGAGTTTCACGGGTGCAGACTTTACTTGCTGAAGGCGCCCTGCCAGGCATCTGATACTTACTATGCAAGGGCTCGAGTAAATTAACTTATGGTAAATACTAAACCCTACTCAATAATTAAAGTTTATCTAATCATCACATACATATTATAGGATATTATTAATTCTATATTACAACGGGAGCGTATCTTGGATATTTAAGATGTATTTCGATCTTTTTTGGGCAAGATTTCAATTCCAAAATGAAATAGCTATAAACAAATATAAAGAGATATACAAGGAACTATGGAGCCAACTATACATTACAGATACTCGATATCGTGGACAATCTGATTCCATGTCCACCAGTTTAAAAAGTTCAGCTACATATGGAAGCCCCTCGGACTTTTGCGTGGGATCATCTTCACTTTGCAGATCCTAAACCATCGTAATAATTTAGCAGTGCTCCCATAGAAGGTTTGAGTATCAAGACCGAGTATCAGAAATGGCCAACCATTGAGATTCATTGGGCACCATTCGATGCAGGTAACTCATCACAACAGTGTACCCCAACACCTATTCAGTTGCTCACTCCTGCATATATCCCATCATCTGCGCATCTTATTGTCTGCGTTAGCGATCAACATACTACTGATCATGTCGAAGAACATCATGAACTTCGTCATAGGCTAACTCGTCATCCAGATCACTACACTCCAGGCACATATGTGTTGCCCGTAGACATCGAAAGAAATGATAGGTTTAACCTTTGTGAGTTGTTCGGCATTATGTCCTATAGTTGCCTTATTTTGTTTGTAATACTTAAAACAACTAATAACTCACATATTTTCGAGCAATTATTAGGTCCTTTCACT